GTGCAGTCGGCAGTATTATGTATGCAATGGTTTGTACACGTCTAGACATTTCACAAGTAGTGAATGTANGCTTTCTTTTTTCTTTTGGATAGATTCTTCATTACTTATACATGCACGACAAGGATTTTGTCTAATTTGCTTATGCATGTTTGAAAAATAAATATGTACGTGGATAGTTTTTAAATGTTAGCTACAAATCTATCTACTATATTCCTTTTTTTTGCATAATGAAACTTAATTCCTTTTTTCCTCCTCAATAATAAGATGCTTCTGTGACAAAATCTTTGATTGTAAAATTAAGTGCCCCTATTTTGAATACGAGGCAAGGAAAGGAAAAAGAAGACAGAACATGACAAATTATTCATATATACTTGAATCTTTAATAGGGTGCGTTGATAAAAAAAAAAGGTCCTAAATTCTCTTTAAATTCCTTTAATCCAGAGCCAACATTAATGATACAAAGGCAAATGCACCATCTGTAGAAATGCAAATGGATGAAAGGTAATTAAAGGTAAATCACTAGGGTATAAAAGTTAACAAAAGCTCCACTTTAATTTAGTCAGAGAATCCCTGAAGGCAGGAAGCTTTGAACATCCAACAAAAGTTGATCAACCGTAGAATATAAAATCATGTTTCGTATACTTTAAGGTCACTATTAAGACTTAATTAATAATTCTCTTCCAGTTAAGATAACTCAGGACAAGGATGATACACTGATAAGCAGAAAATGATACTATTCAAACATAAGTTGAACTTAGGAGCATAAATATTACTTTGATATAGGAACTTCAATTTGCTTTGTTGTGCCAAATAAGACTGAGGAAGATAAGAATTAAGATATTCCTCTGCATTTATGCATCTATCAAGCAATTGTAGTAAAAATTGAATCAGATTATGTTGTTTGTTTATATTTTTAATTTATATGATCTCTTCTTCTTTGTTACTATTTTTTATCTCTTTTTTAACTATATCTTCTCTCTCCCCTGATTGGCTATGAATTTTGAGCTTATTCGTGCTTTGGAACAAACTAATTAATATGTGATCCACATGGAATCAACTATCTGGAGTAGTATAGTTAGGTCCTATTTAAAACAAATTGATCAAACAGACATTATAATTTATTCTTTCGCCTGATATGTGCTTAACAAAAGCATGGTTCGGGAGTTTCAATTTATCTTCTAAAATTTAGTAGCTCAACCAGTTTAGTGTAGGATAGCGTCGATCCATCTTTATAGAATACATTATACCTTCCATGCACTTGAAAATTAAAATTGTTATGGAGAGACGATCAATATTTAAAAGTAATCAGTAATTTGTTAATGCAGCTCTTTTCACTTTAGTCATTTTTACTTTTCTAATTTCTCCTCTTTAAGGAAGGATATATTCTGTCTTAGTTACATTTTCTGTTGACATTTTCCTAATCCAAAAAGAAAAAGGAAAAAGACAAGCATATACTCAGTCTTAAATATTTCTGAACCAATCTTCCACAATTTCTTTGCTGATTGTTTACAGGAAGACCAAATCAAAGCAATCATTACCCAATTATCAAAAAATGTTCAGACTATTTCATACCTATTTGATAACGGATACACGCATACAGCTACCAAATCTGAGATACGAAAAATCGTTGCATACGTTTGAATGGGTTATCGACAAAAAGACCATAATTGATCCAATTGAGAAAGACAACCCACATGAAGATGAGTTGCCTCCACCCATCAGACTTACTGTTACATCCTTTCGAGATATTAAAAATCAAGCCTCTCGAGCTATCAACAGTCTGACTAAGAATGTTGAATAACCCGATTCGTTAGGACCCGACCCACCTTTATTTCACATATATTTTTTGATATTTTATTTTTGTTTGATTGAGAAATTGTGTGATAATCATATTTATTTATTTGAGTAATTTTATAATCGATTTTTTTTGTTATACATCATTTCGGGAAGTAATCCTACTAAAAGTAGTAATTGATATTTATTTATTTATTATTTTAATAATATAATATTCGAATTAGTTTGTACTTTCTTCAATCATTTTACCATCTATTTTTATTTTTCTCACAATCTATTTGTATTTTTCACCAATACAAATACAAATAACTCCATGTTCACTATAACTTAACTTGATGGATCCGTTTTTTTTGTTTAGATAAGTGATCATTATATGATTGATTATTAGTTTATTGGATTATTTTCTGCATTACAAATTTGTTATGAAATAAGTAATAAATTGTTAAAACAGTGGTGCTTCTTTTCTATTTTTATTAATTGATTATTTTATAACAAATATTATTTCATAACAAGCACCACTGAGAAAAATAAAAATAGATGGTAAAATGATTGAAGAAAGCACAAACTAATTCGAATATTATATTATTAAAATAATAAATAAATATCAATTACTACTTTTAGTAGGATTACTTCCCGAAATGATGTATAACAAAAAAAAAAATTGATTATCAAATTACTCAAATAAATAAATATGATTATCACACAATTTCTCAATCAAACAAAAATAATATATCAAAAAATATCTTTGAAATAAGGGTGGGTCGGGTTCTAACGGATCGGGTCAGCAGATTTTAGTTGGGTCCGGTTATTAATTATTTAAGAAAGACAAAATAATGGTTCCGTTAAACTAAGGGCATGAATGAGCAAGTATTGGGCGGATTGAGCATATCTGTGCCAAACTATTAACGACGGGCATATCTATCCCCATTTGCATAGTTCACTGGCATATATAATCCTTTTCCGTTTTATCAATGAACATGTAATATAATAAAACTTGTCAGTTTACCATTTTATACATTTATTTATTCTTTAAATCCTTCTGTCAACAGATGTGCTTGCAATTGTTGTCAAGTGCTTCACAACAAGATATGTTGCAAGTCTGCGGAAAAGATTGCAGAAACTCATTGTCATTGATACCCGGTAAGTCTATTAGCGAAGTCATAGACTTTTCAGACATTTCTGTATACTTAATGTCTAAGTATATAAAAATATACTTAAAAATTTGTTACTTTCATGTTAACAGTAGACAAACTTTCACATTCACGATATGGGAAGAGGCTATTATTGAAGATGAAGGAAAGAAACTCTTAACACAATTCCAAGAGTATCCCATCATCTTTGCTAGGCGTATTGGGGTGTCCAAATACAATGGTAAGCTAAAATTAACAATACTTCATCTTATACAAAGAAGCAATGTGATTTTATAATTTCTTAATGTAATTTATGCAGGTACATCATTGACAACAAGGTTTAACACAACCATACAGATTAATCCACCTTATCTACAATGTCTGCAACTACGTAAATGGTATTACATAAATCCTCTATATATTGTTATTTCTTTCTTATTATTAATATTCTAAGGTGTTGTGATTTTTATTTTTGGACAGGATCATAGAAAATAAAGAAATGCTTGCTTCTTTCATTCTGAAGAGCACATCTGCATCCAGATCTCTAATCTTTGTTCCAGTGGATGAAGAAATAGTGCCAATTGCAAATGTTCAATCACAGCAGGACGCCAGTATAATTTTTATTTACATATTTCATAATTTGATTTAAGTATTTGTCCTTATAACAATTACTCTCACTTTTCTAACATAGGGGCACGCATTTTCCATTGAGGCAAAAATATCACTTCCAAGTGAGCTCAAGTGTTTCTGTGTTTTAATATGTCCAAACTGTGGACAAGAAATGAGAAGTTCAGTCTGTTTACCCAAAAAATCGGATAACGTTGAATTTATGTATGGTTCTAAGGGCAAGTAGATTCCTTTGTTATGAAAATAACAATACACGTATTTATGGTGCAAAAATAGAAGATGATGAACAAAGATATTTAGTGAGCTTTAGAAAGATAAACACAATGAATTCTTAATCCCAGCGAAAAGTGTCTTCTATTACAAACTCTCCTTGCTTTTATAGCCAAGGATCACTACTTTATCTATAACAACATGATGGAATAAATATTACTAGTGGAGGACCTATGATGGCGTGTCCCCTCCTTAAATCCCGCAGAGATTCTCTCCTTTGGTGCGGTTGTAACAGCTTTTTGTCTGTGAACTCGATACCAACTCGAGCACGGTATCGGATCGGAACCCCGGCCTTGGTTTCGAGCTAGGTGATCACTTTTGGGCATCGATGTTCGGGACCTGTATCGGTCGATGTTACCTCGGTCGATTCGAACGCCCGAGCTCGACGCCCCCATCTCGGAATTCGTTCGGGGTCTCCATGAAGATACCCCTCGATTGAAATGCCATCCTCGATCGATCTTCATGACCGAGGATCGGTTTTAACCGTATACAGATAGCCCCCTCATTTCTTGGAAAGGAGATGACGAGAAACGATGTGATTTCCCTAAGGTTCGACCGAATCGATAATGACGTTTCTATCGGCTTTAACTATGACGTGCGTGATAGCTGTCCCATCGATTTGGTTTTATCGAGGCATTTAATGTGTGTCAGTCGGTGGTCGGCCACCGCTAGAAACGCATCGCCATGCCTTATAAATGGTTTTCACATATAATGTTTTCCACTTTTGTGCTTCCTCTTTTCCCAAATTCTCTTTGATTAGTCTCTCTTATTTCGTTGCTTTAGTGCCGCTTATACCAGAGTTTCGGTGTTGTCCCCTCTTTCACCTTTCTTTGCGACTTTTTCTTCTCGTATTAATGGCGAAAACTTCAAAAATCGTACCTCACAAGGAGAAAGCTTCTTCCTCACGGCCGTGTGACGATAAGGCGCCGACCGAGCCGTCTGTTCAAGATTATATTTCCGGCCCGTGTATTTTAAAAGCTGATTTTAAGGTGGAGAATCCTTCATCCATTCCGGGTCGGTGTGAGCACGTATCGATGTATATGTGCTCTATAGCGGAGGTTCACCTCGAGGCCGTCAGGAAAGACTGCGGCTGGGGTTCTGAGGTTGTGTTACAAATCCCCTCCTCCGATGAGAGCGTCACTACCTATGTGGAGGGATTTCTAAGTGTTTACACCTATCCCTTTACGTTGGGAGCTATCGATCCCGTGATTTTTGATTTCTGCAGGAGATATCAGGTCACCTCAGCCAAATTCATCCTTCCTTATGGCGTATAGTCATCTTATTGCGTTTCTTCTCTATCAAAGCCGGAGGGTTGGATTTTTCTCTGAGCCACCTTATACGACTGTATCGGCCTCAGATTTATCGTGGACTTATTAGACAATATCATCGGGCATCGAAGGCCTTGATGTCGAGCATCGATGAAGATAAGGATCGAGGCTGGATGAGTCGATATGTTCGAGTAAGGACTCGTGATCTTATCCCGGAGGAAAAGATGCCGTTTCCTAAAAAATGGAACTTCGACCGTAAGTGATACGTGTTTGCTTTTCGTGTCTTTTTCCGTGTTTGCTAATATTATTTTCTGATGTTTAGCTGCACCTTGGATGCCATAAGCTGTGCCTGATCTCGAGAATTGGGTTCGAAAGTTAGCCTCGACTTCATCCTATGCCGAGCGCGCTTGGCATGATTTGGCTAAAGGTAGATGGGAGGCCAAGAATCATGGTGAGGTTTGGTTCCTGTTTCCCTCGAGGTATATTCTGCGTTCATTTCGTTATCGATTTTTCCCTTGTGTATAGGTGTAACTAGGGATGCCGTTCTGCGGCCTTCGAGCGGTGATGAAGGAAATAAGCCCCCGGTCCTGGAACAGGGAAAAGAAAAGAAACGAAGGACTTCCTCTCGGCCGGAGGACCCTAAGCCCAAAACTCGAACGGTGAGGAGAAAAATCATTGCCCTTTCGATCGACTCGGTCCATCGACTGAGGGAGGAAGAAGAAGAGGAAGATAGCTCCTCGGCTTTGGTAGTCCGACCTACGGAGGCAGTCAAGGTTGTTAGAGCTGCTGAGCTGATGGCGGCTGTGCCCATCGGGGTTGGTTCTGAAGACCTAAGTCTCGATCGGAGTACTCCGAGTGATTTGCTCGGGGCAATGGCAATGGGTCATTCACCTTCCCTTCCGTCTTTTTCTGAGGAGGCGTTGAAGGAGGCTCGAGAGCTGAAGACTCCCGATATTGGTGCTGGCTCAGGTGCAGCGGATC